GATCTACTTTTACCTTTTTCAAAATGGCTCCTCTGTTGTCTTAGCACCATCTATTAAAAAGTCCATCTGTACCCCAGTGATCTAAGAGGCAAGACCTTTATCATATGCTAAATTTCCATATATAACTGGGTCAGTTTATGGAGAGAGAGCCTATTTTATGTCACTTATATATTTGTCTATTCATATGCCAGTACACGTTGTTTCCATTATTATCCCTTAAAGCATGTTTTATTGGTTGATAGAGCTAGTCCTCCCCTCTGACCTTTAGGGTTTTTCTTTTTTAGCATTTATCTGGCTATTCTTGGACATTTTTTCCTTATGAACTTTAGTATCAACTTCTCCAACTCCATAAAGTTGCATGTTATTTATATTGGGAGTACATTGAATTTCTAAATTAACTTAAGGGGTAATGTCATTGTTATATTGTTGAACCATCATATGCAAGGACAATGGATATCATCCCATTTGTTCAAATCTACTTTTGTATCTTTCAGGAACGTCTAAAACCTTTCCTCATATAGAATTGACAAGTTCCATGCTGAATTTATTCCAAAGTATTTTATTTTTTGTTGATTTTGTAAATGAGGTTTTCTCTTACATTATCTTAGGGTGGTTTTTTTAAAAAAAATAACCTTATTAAGATATAATGACATATAATTAACTGCACTTTTTTTTACTTCTTTTTTATCGAAGTGTAGTTGATTTATAATGTTAGTTTCAGGTGCATAGCAAAGTGATTCAGTTATACATATATATATATTTTTTTCTTTTCAGATTCTTTTCCATTATATGTTATTACAAGAAATTGAAAATTATTTCCTGTGTTATATAGTAGGTCTTGTTGTTTATTTTATATATAACTACACATATTTAAAGTGTACAATTTTGTAAGTTTTGACATATGTATACATCCAAGAAAACACTACTACAGTCAAGATAATGGACATAGCCATTATTTCCAAAAGTTTTCTCATGCCCCTTAGTAATCCACAGTTACACCATTCCCCGCATTTTCCCAAGGTACCTCCATCCCAGGTAACCACTTACCTACTTCCTGTCACTATACATTAATTTGCATTGTCTGAAATTTCATATAAAAGGAGTCATATAATACATACTCTTTTTGTTTGGCTTTTTTCACTTGGCACAATTATTTTGAGATTCATTCATGTTGTATGTATCAATAGTTCATTCCATTTTATCGTTGAGTAGTATTTCATTATATGGATATACCAAAATTTACTCATCTGCTCATCTGTTGATGGGCATTTGAATTGCTTCCACATTGAGGCTGTTACAGATAAATCTGCTATGAGCATTTAGATACTAGTCTTTACACAGACATATGTTTTCATATCTCTTGTGTAAATACTTAGAAGTAGGCTAGCTGGGTCATATGGTAACTGTATGTATAACATTTTAAGAAAATGCCAAACTGTTTTCCAAAGAGGTTGTACTATTTTACATTACCACCAGTGGTATCTAAGAGTTCCTGTAGCTCTAAATCCTTGCCAACATTTGATATGGTTGGTCTTTTTAATTTTAGCCATCCTAGTAAGTGTGTAGTGGTATCCCAGTATGGCTTTAATTTGTATTTCCATAAAGACTAATGATATTGAGCATCTTTTCATGTGCTTAATTGCCATTCACCATCTTATTTGGTGAAGTGTCTGGGCAAATTTTTTTTGCCTGTTTTTAATTCAAATTTTCGTTTTCTTATTAGTGAGTGGATTAATATAGAACACAGCACATCTCTCAGTCTACTGAGGGATTCTCTGCTAGGATTCTCTACTAGGATAATTCCTAGTTTGCTGAGAGTTTTATCCAGAATGGATGTTGGATTTGTCAAATGCTTTTTCTGTGTCTATTGCAGTAATCACATTTTTTCTTCTAATCTGTTAATTTGGCAAATTATATTGATTGGTTTCTGAATATTAAACTAACCGTGGATTCCTGGCATAAACTTGATTTGGTCATGATGTATGATCCTTCTTATATAGTGTTGGATTCAGTTGGCTAAAATTTCTTCTTTTATTTGCATTGTTTCTGACCTGTAATCTGCTGTCATCCTTATCTTTTTGATTATTCCATAGTGTGTATTTTTCTTTGACTGCTTTTAAGATATTTTTATTACTGGCATATATACATATACACACATGTATATGTATATATGTATACATATATATGATTATGATATTTCTTTCTGTGATTTTCTTCATGTTTCTTGTGTTTGGGTTCTGTTGAATTTATAAGATTTGTGACTTCATAATATTCAATTTGGAAAAATTTTATATATTCAAATGAAATCTAAAAAAGAAAAAGAAAAAGACAAACGAACATAAATACAAAACAGAAACAGACTCACAGACATAGAATACAAACTTGTGGTTGCCAAGGGGGCGGGGGGTGGGAAGGGACAGACTGGGAGTTTGAAACTTGTAGATACTGACAGGCATATGTAGAATCAATCAACAAGATTATACTGCACAGCACAGGGAAATATATACAAGATCTTGTGGTAGCTCACAGAGAAAAAATGCGACAATGAATATATGTATGTTCATGTATAACTGAAATATTGTGCTCTACACTGGAAACTGACCCAACATTGTAAACTGACTATAACTCAATAAAATAAAAATTTTAAAAAGAGTTAAAAAAAGCTACAGAACAATTAAAAATATGAAAATACTGACTGTAAAAAAATATTTTTTCTGTCCCTTCTCTTTTCACGTCTCTTATTATACTTATATTAGGTTGCTTGAAGTTATCTCACAGCTCAATGATACTCTTTTAGTTTCTTTGTATTCTTTTTCTCTCTGTTTCATTTTGGCTAGTTTCTATGGCTATGGCTATAGGTTTGATAATCTTTTGCCATGTAAAATCTGACATTAACCCCAAACGATGTATTTTTCAGCTCAAATGTAGTTTTTATCACTAGGATTTCTATTTCAGTCTTTTTAAATGTCTTCTGTTTCTACTTAACATGTTTGGTCTTTCTTCTAGTTTTTTGAACATATGAAATACAGTGACAATAATTGCTTTATGCCCTTGTCTATGAACTGTATCATCTGTATTTTTCTTGGTCAGTTTCAGTTGACTGATTTTATCATCATTATAGCTTTTATTCTCCTATCTCATTGCTTACCTGGTGATTTTGAATGGATGACAACCATTGTGAATTCTACCTTGTTGAATGCTGGATATTTTTGTTTTCCTCTAAGTATTCTTGAGCTTTGTTCTGGAATGTGTTTAAATTACCCTGAAACAGTTTAATCCTTTGGAGTCTTGCTTTTAAACTTTGTTAGGCAGGACCAAAGTACCATTTAGTCTAAAGGTAATTTTGCCCCACTACTGAGGCAAAACCTTTCTGAGTATCCAATCCTTATCTGTATATTTTTCTATTGCTGCTATAACACATTTCCACAAACTTAGTGGCCTAAAAACACTTCTAGCCTCCCAAACTATGGAAGAATAAATTTCTGTTGTTTTAAGCCAAAAAAAAAAAACAACCCACATACCTTCACATGGTGTTTTTCCTATGTCTCTCTTTACAGAATCTTCCCTCTATGCATGTCTGTCTTTGTGTCCAAGTTTCCCCTTTTTATACAGGCACCAGTCCTATTGGATTAGGGCCCACCCTGATGACTGCACTTTAACTTGATTATCTCTGGAAAGACCCTACTTCCAGATAAGATCACTTTCTGAGGTACTGGGAGCTAGGGCATCAGTATCTTTTTCGGTGAATGCAATTCAACCCATAACACCCCCTTTAAGGAAGATCTTGTTGCCCCAGCTGCTGGGAGTGCTGCCTGCAAACAGCCTTCAGCTGTCAGCCCCTATAGGAGCTGCCTCGACAGAGGACCACCTCATCCAAGGCCATGCCCCCTGACCAGGGTGGCCCACACCGATAACTGATAGACACGGGGATGTAAAGGACTAGCTATCTTGTCTCCACTTGGAGCAACTCTAAAGGGCCCGTCTCATTTCAGAATGCCCCTAGGGTTGCCTAAGGCTTTTGTTGGGTGGCTACTGGCACAAAAGCCTGGCTTTCTCCTTCTGCCCGTGCCGGCTTGAGCCCTCTACCTCCTACTGGTATCCATCCCTTCATCAGCACCCTGCTCGCTGAACCCTGCCTCTGGGTTTATTTCCGGGAGAACCCAACCAGCAACAGGCAGAAAGAGGAAATAGATGTCTCTAGGATGAAAAAATCCCTACGGAACTACATCTTCAACCACCTTTATTACAAAGAGTTTTATTGGCTGAGAAGTTTTCTTGGCACGCAATCCTGAATTGCCTTTTCCTCTTAGAGGAGACTTCCACTCAATTCTTTCAAAACCAACTTAATTTTTTTTCATTGTTTAAAAAAAAATCACATGCTCTTTGTAGAAGATTGGGGAAATAAACCTTTCAAGAAGAAATTAAAAATCACCTGGTAATAGCTACTATTTTGGCATATGCATATCACATAGCATGGGTTACAAACTTGAAGGCCGGTTATTGGGCCAGGTGAGTAACATACACAGATACTGATTAGGCGAATATCATACGGATCTGGGGAGTGCATGCCCCATCTAAAAGCTCAACTACTTTTAAGTCTAGCCTGCTGGTTTTGCCATAAACTGGTTCTAGTTTACAGTCCCTCTGTCTAAAGGCTATTTACTAGTGTATCCTGCCTACATCTTTATCATCTCTTTTCACTCTTCCCCTTGTTTACTCAACTGTAGCCATACTAGCCTCCATACTGTCCCTCCAGCATGCCACACATGTTCATTCCTCAGGGCCTTTGCACTTGCTCTTCCCTCTGCTTGGAAATATCCATACTACTGACTTCCTCAAATTCGTCCTGATCTTTGCTTAAAATTTGCCTCCATGAAGTGATCTTTCTTTACAAGGCATCTAAAATGACACCACTCAATCTCCTTTTGACCCTGATTTATTTTTTCTTCATATCAATAACTCATATTACCTGTTTGTTTATTTTCCTTTTGTAGGACTTCCTAACATTTTTCCCCCCATCGTTGCACACTGAGAAAATGATTCTATTTGAGCAGCATCCTAGGGAAAAGGGGGGAGGCCAATTGTGATTGGTGTCAGTAAAGCTGGAGTTGGGGAGAGACTCCAGGCCTCATGGACACCTCAGTGGATGAGACACACCTGTCATGAATCTGACACCTGTTAACATCTGTCCCTCCACCAGCATGTAAGCCCCCATGATAGTCTTTCAAGCAGAGCCTGATACATAGTATGTGCTAAGTAAGTAAGTTATATCATGAATGTTTCTCCGTATCATTCAGCACTCATGAACATTTTAAAGACTCTGATCTTTCATCATTCTAAGGTATGTTTTGTTTAATTGCTCCTTTATTATTGTACTTGTAGTGTTTTTTGTACTTGATTTAAAGTCTGCCTTCTGGCTTCCTTTGTAGTGAATTGCTGAAGGCTTGGAAGGAATCATGTTGCCACACACGGTATCTGAGTAGTGCCATCTTCCCGGGCAAGACATCAGACTTGGGAAGGCACACACCATTTTAACTTGGATGCACAGACACACATCATGTCCCAACGAATCCTGGTATGCACGCTCCTGGAACAATCTGAAACATCTCTGGGCATGTTCAGTGTATCACTCAAAAGGAATGAGACTTGGTACATGTCAGATTCTCTGTGAGTCTCACGTTCAACATGAACCACAGAAGAATTCCACCGGTAAGTTTTTTCCTTGATAATCACTTCTAAAACAGAAACTTGGAGTAGAGTCAGGAAGGGATGTGAAGGAAGGCGAATGTATGAGAAGCAGACAAGAGATGCTGCTGGTGAAACTGGACTCCCCTCCCTCCCGGTGATAGGGAAAACCACGGAGATGAGTGTACTTAGTGAATGCCACAGGCATTTTTCTCATTCCTGACAGGCAGGGTGGAAGGTTAGGCTCTTCTAAATTGTACCTGTCTTCCAGGTCAATTAATCAAAGTGTACGTACAGGACAAACACCAAACATATTTTGTGAAATTCAGTCCATCCCTGACTGCACAAATGTCCCATCCATCAGAATGTCAGTGACCTGTGTGGATTTATGTGTTTGTGCACATTTTCTTAAAAGAATTGTTCTTACTCGAAAATTACTGAAAGCATCAGGAAGTTTTTTTTTTTTCTGATATGAAAGAAGAGATACCATCAAGGGTATGAGTGAAGAACTTCTGGACTCAAATCCTAGTTCTGCCGCTTACAAATGTGTGGTCTTGGACGAGTTACTTAACCTCTTAGTATCTCATTTTTCTAAGAGCAACACATATTTCACACAATATTAGGAAATTAGATAGAGACTCTTAGGGCTTTACTGGTAATGCAACTTTTAACAAGATGAAGAAATAGAATTTTTTCTCTCTCTCCCCCTGTTTTTTAAAGTTCTCACTCTCTAGTTAAAGGCACACTCCTCAAAGTGTGTTCCACAGAACGTTCCAAGACATGCTCAGTAAAAGAGGGACTACTATACTGTAACGTCCCATTTAGAGCTTCTTTATGCCTGTTGGCGTGCTGAAGGCTCAGGACTCGGACAGTAGAGAAAACTGGTTGATTGTATTTGATTTGGTATTTCTCAGTCGTATTTGACTAGAGGATTTTTCTTTTTTTTCCTGGTGATACCTCTTAACCAGCTTGCTGAATGACTCTGTGATGAAACACATGAGAGTGGATCCTCTAAGGCACCCTCAGAACAAAGGGTCACTGAAGTTAGGGGAAATCAGGAGTGTCCACAGCGACGACACAATAGCTCATCTAGAAAACTGGTGCTCCTAACTTATTTATAGGCACACACATCTTGTAATGAAGTGGTATATAGTCTTTAAGTTTGTAACAATCTCAAATAATTATTCACTTTTATGTATCAAATTCTTTTCTGCTTGCTATCTTTTTTGGGGGAAGGTAATTAGGTTATTTATTTATGTATTTATGTATTTTCATAAAAGTACTGGGGATTGAACCCAGGACTTCGTGCATGCTAGGCATGCGCTTTATTTATAACTGAGCTATGCCCTCCCCCCTCTGCTTGCTATCTTTTAATTTTTATCAGCCTCTGTTATTTTACTGGCTTGTCACTTACCTTTTATGTTTTCTTTTCAAGCATCGACTCTTTATGTACTCAGTGTGGGTGTATAAGGGTGGAGCCTCTGTTCTTCACGAAACCTCTAGGTCGGTGCAGCTTCCAATAATGGTGACTCATGAATGACAAGACCAGAAACATTTTAAGCATTGATTATAATGAGAAAGCAACAAGTTATTGCTTGATGAAGTTGGATTTATTAATAGATGAGATAATCCAGTTATTACAAAAAGTCTGACTTGTAGTTTCTTTGAAACTTCTTATAATCCTCTCTTATTTATTTAGAAAAATTTTCTGAATCCAATCCCATCACCATAACACCTAGAGAAATTTCTTTATCAGCCCTTCATAGGTTGCCAAGGAAAATAAAGTGAATTAAAACAAATTTTAAAAAGAAAAATAGAATAACAAGACAAGAGTTTAAGTAAGACAGAAAAAAAAAGAGATAATTTCCTCTCACTTACCCACCCCCACCAAAAAATGAAAAACCCAGAAAATAAAACTTACAAACCCTGATCCTCTTCTCATACAAATAAGAGAAAGGCAGGAAAAAATAATAACAAAGACTTTTCAGCACAAAATAAGAAAGGTCAATTTGAGAAGTGCTAACCAATATTCTGTAACATAAAGGTAATTGTAAAATTATATAAGTATGTCTGAAAAGAGAAAATTATTAAGAAAAAAGAAATGTTTTTGACCCTCCCCCCACCAGCAGATGGGGAAGAGAATCTGTTCATTGCTGACGACCAAAGACAAAGACTCCTGAATATTTCATTTTTTTACCCCTAAAATAAGACAGTCATGTACAGAAACTCAAATGGGCAACCTCTCCCCACAAAAAAAGTGAAAATAAATAAAAATATCACAGCCATGTCACATGAGGACCCATACAATTCTAATCTGGAGTGAGATTTTTCTTATAAACATTATTAATTCATTTCTGTTCCTAGTACTGGCAAGCTAGGTTATTTGGACCAACATTTTCTCAGAAAAACAACTAAAAATTATGGGGAAAGTGATTTTTTTTAAAAAAAGCATTGGAGAGCTGACAAGATAGTGAGGAATTTCCAGTGCAAACTTGAGAGAAAGCAGGAACCTAGAGAGGTAAAGAGAGCCCAGAGGCCACTGAAGGCCTTTGTCAACCTGGAAAAATTAGAACTTTGGTTTTAACAGCCAGGCTGACATGATCTGCCCAAGGTGAGGAGTTAAGAATAGACTCTCCCCATTATAGTTAGAAATCCTAAAGGGCTATACTTTTAGGGTCAGTATGAAACAGAAGTAAATTGGCCTTTGAATGTATTTTTAGCTGAAATTGACATCTTATGGACTGCTGAAGTTGACAGCTTATGGACTACCCAACACAAAAACAAAACCATCTAGACTTGAATTTAGTTTGAAGTGATTCTAAACAGATAAGTGTCCCTGGATATTTGGTCTACACTAATGTGTATTATCTTTTGTGTATTGTTGTACCTTTCATAACAGAGCTCAGATTATTCCTATAAATACATTTTCAAAGATACTTAGTGACAAACAGTGCCATTCATACAAGAAAAAAGCAATGTGCATGAAAACATGGAGAGAGAACAAACAACAGAAAGAGATCCACAGAGACTGCAGATAGGGAATTATTAGTTAAGGCACCTTAACTATGCTTTCAATATTTAAATAAGTAAAAGATGGATTGAAAATACCCTTGCCAACAAGAAACCTTATAAAATGAAATCAGATCTGGAAAAGAACCAGTTAGAACTTCTAGAAATGTATATATGTATATAGATAAATAGATCGATATAGATATTTTCATGGATGGATGTAGATCTATAGATATATATGTATGTGTATATATATGGATATATATGGATATATTATGGATTAATGCATAAAATTAAAGGACTATTCATGGGTAAAAAGATAATTGATAAATTTGAAGATAAATCAGAAGAAATAATCCAGAATGAACTGCTGAGAAAATAAAGGATGAAAAGTACAAAAGAGAGATTAAGAGACATGAGAAATAGAGTGAAAGGGTCTAACAATAATTTAATTAGAATCCCAAAAGGACAGTAGAGAGAGAATAAAACTATAATGGCTATTAATTTCTAGAACTGATAAAATACATAAACTTGCCATTCTAGAAGTCCCCCAATTTCCAATGAGAAAAGTAAAAGAATTCCCACCTACACCCATCAGAGTGAAACTGAAGGACAGCAAAGAAGAAAGGAAAAGAAACAAACAAAAATAGACCCAGGAAAAAAGACAGATGACATTCAGAGGTGTGGCATTTAGATTAGTTAGTTGATCTCTTAACAACAGCAATGGAAGGCAGGAGGAAGTGAATGATATGGTCAATGAATTGAAAGAAAGTAACTAGTGATCAGAATTATAGACAAGGAGAAAATATCTTTGAAGAATGATAACAAAATGGATACATTCTTTTTAAAATAAGACTATTTATTTAAAGCAATGTAAGTTTCACAGAAAAACTGAGGGGAAGGTAGAGATGTCCTGTATGCCGCTTGTCCCCACCACATGCATAGTCTCCCACATTATTAACATTCCAACCAAAGTGATACAGTTATCACAATTGATGAACTGGCAATGACACATCATCCTCTAGAGTCCTTAGTTTCCGTTAAGGTTCACTCTTGGTGTTGTACATTCGATTGGTTTGGACAAGTATATAATGTCATATATATATCATTATAATATCATACAGAGTTTCTTCACTGCCCTAAAAATTCTCCATGTTCTGTCTATTCATCCCTCCCCCTCCACAATCCCTGGCAACCTGGTCTTTTTTATTGTCTCCATAGTTTTGCCTTTTCCAGAATGTCTTATAGTTGGAATCATGCAGTGCCTCTTCCAATTGACTTCTTTCATTTAGTAAAATGCATTTAAGTTTCCTTCATGTCTAATAACTCATTTCTTGATAATGCATTTCTTTTGAACACTGAATAACATACCATTGTCTGGATGTACCCACGGTTTATTTATCTATTCACCTACTGAAGGACATCTTGGTTGCTTCCAAGTTTTGGCAATTATAAATGAAGCTGCTGTAGCAACATGTGTGTGTAGGTTTTTGTGTGGACATAAGTTTTCAGCTCCTTTGAGTAAATACCAAGGAACATGATTGCTGGATCATATGGCAAGAGTAGGTTTAGTTTTGTAAGAAACTGCCAAACTGTCTTCCAAAGTGGTCATACCATCTTGCATTCCCACCAGCCATGAATGTGAGTTCCTGTTGCTCCACATCTTCACCAGCATTTGGTGTTGTTAGTGTTCTGGACGCTGACCATTGTAAGAGGCATGTAGTGGTATCTCGTTTTTATTTGTATTTCCCTGATAGCATATGATGTGGAGCATCTTTTCATATGCTTATTTGCCATCTGTCTATCTTCTTTGGTGAGGTGTCTATTAAGATCTTTGGCCCATTTTGAATCAGGTTGTTTGTCTTCTTATTGTTCAGTGTTCAGAGTTATTTGTATATTTTGGATGTGTCCTTTACCAGACATGTCTTTTTCAAATATTTTCTCCTGGTCTGTGTGGCTTGCCTTTTCATCTCCTTGAGGGTGTCTTTTGCAAAGCAGAAATTTTTTATTTTAATAAAGTCGAGATTATCAGTTCTTCTTTTCATGAATCATGCCTTTGGTGTTGTATCTAAAAAGTCATTACCAAACTCAAGGTCATATAGGTTTTCTCCTATGTTATCTTCTAGGAGTTTCTTGGTTTTTAAAAATTTGTTTAACTGAAGTATATTTGATTTACAAGATTATATTAGTTTCAGGTGTACAGCATAGTGATTCAGTATTTTTGCAGATTATACTTCATTACAAGTTATTACAAGATAATGGCTATAATTCACTATACTATACAATATATCTTTATTACTTATCTATTATGGTTTTGTATTTTACATTTAGGCCTATGATCCTTTTGGAATTAAATTTTGTGAAGGGTGTAATGTCTGTGTCTAGATTCATTTTTTTTGCATGTGGATGTCCAGCTGTTTCAGCATCATTTGTGGAAAAGACTGTCTTTGCTTTATTGTATTAACTTGCCCTTTTGTCAAAGATCAGTTGACTGTGTTTATGTGAATCTATTTCTGGGTTGTCTATTCTGTTCCATTGGTCTATTTGTCTATTCTTTTGCTGATACGATGTTGCCTAGATTATTGTAGGCTCATAGTAAGTCTTGAAGTCAGGTAATGTCAATTCTCTAGCTTCGTTCCTCTCCTTCAATATTGTATCGGTTATTCTGGGTCTTTTGTCTCTCCATGTAAACTTTAGAACTAGTTTGTCAATATCCACAAAATAACTTGGTGGGATTATAATTGGGATTGCACTGAATGTATAGATCAAGTTGGGAAGAAATAACATTTTGACAATATTGAGTCTTCCTTTGCATGAAAATGGAATCACTCTCAATTTATTTAATTCTTCTTTGACTTTGTTCATCATATTTTTGTAGTTTTCCTCATATAAATCTTGTACATATTTTGTTAGATTTATACCTACATTTTTCATTTTATTGAGCATACTAGTATAAATGGTATTGTGTTAATTTCAAATTCCACTTATTCATTGCTGGTTTGTAGGAAGGGGATTCACTTTTGTGCCTTAACCTTAGGTTCTACAACTTTGCTATAATTACTTGTTAGTTCCAGGAGGTTTTCTTTTTTTTTGTTTGTTTTTGGTGAGTTATTTTGGATTTTCTATATAGACAAGCATGTCATCTGTAAAGAGAAGGCACTTTTATTTCTTCCTTCCCATGGATACATTTTTTTACATTGAAAACTGAGAAGGTTTTCCATTAGGAAGAAATTTAAAGGATACATTATGAAGGATATACTGCAAGCAGGAAAAAAAGTGATCCCAGAAGGAAAATATGAGAAGAGCAAAGAAAATGGCAAATATATGCGTATATCTAAGATAAAGTTGGATGTATAAAATAATAATGTCTTGTAAGGTTATTAAAAAGCAAACAATTAAAATACATTATGTAAGTCAAAGCTCCTGGTAGTAGTTAACAAATTTATAAGGTTTGAGAATACAAGGATAATATACAAAAATATATTATATTTATATATATGTTCATAATGAATTATTGAAACTCCTTAATTTTTAAGAGCATGCCCTCTGAAATAGCTGAAATAGAATGACATACTTCTAAATCTACAAAATATGTGCAGTATGGGATGCTGAAAACTACAAAACAGTAATTAAAAAATCAAATAATACCTAAATTAATGGAAAAATATGCCATGGTCATGGATCAGAAGACCCTCTATTGTTAAGATGTCTATTCTCCCCAAGTTGAGCTATAGATTTAGCACAATCACAACCCAATTTTCCACCTGTTTTTTTTTTTTTTTTGTAGATATCCAAAACTGCTTCCAAGACTTCTGTTGAAAGATAAAGAAACCAGAATGGGTGAAACATTTTCCTTTGAAAAGGAAAAACAAAATTAAGAGACTCACACTACCTGATTTCAATAGTTACTATAAAGCTACAGTAATCAAGTTAGTGTGGTATTGGTGAGAAGACAGACACATGGATCAATGGGACAGAGTAGATGTTCCAGAAATAGACTCACTCAAATATGGTCATTCGATGCAAAAGTAGTTCGATGTAGAAAGGATAATCTTACCAACAAATGGTGGTAGAACAATTGAACATCACAGGCAGAAAAATAAACCATAGCCTATCCCTGACACTTGATATAAGCGTTAACTAAAAATGATTCTTAGATTTAATATGACTATAAAACGATAAAAACCTTTAGATGAAATACAGAAAATCTTTGTGACCTTGTCTTAGGGAATGAGTTCTTGGATGTGAACCCAAAGCATGGTTCATAAAATAAAAATTTGTAAGTCAGACTTGGCGAAAATGAAAACTTTTGCCCTTTAAGACACTGTTAAGAGAATGAAAAGCTACAGACCGGAGAAAAGATTTGCAAATCATATCTGAAAAAGTACTTATATCTAGAATATGCAATGAACTCACAAACAGAATTCAACAATAAGACAGCATACGACCCCTCAAACGTAGGCAAAGGTTTCAACAGACACTTCTCAAAGAAACTGTGTGGAAGGAAAATGGAAACATAAAGATATGATTGTCACCATCAGTTCCTAGGAAAATGCAAATGAAAGCCGCAGTGAGATAAAACTACACACCTATTGAAATGGCGAAAATAAAAAATAGACAATATAAAATGTTGAAGTAGATATGGAACACTTGGAACTTTCATACATTGCTGATGGAAATGTAAGGTGATACAGACTCGAGAAAACAGTTTAGCATTTTCTTATAAAGTTAAAAATATACTTACTATATGACCCAGGAATCCCACTCTTAAGGATTTACTATTTACTCTAGAGAAATGAAAACATATGTTCCCACGCTAAACCTGTACATAGATGTTTATAGCAGCGTTATTCACAGTAGCGTGGAACTTGAAACAGCCCAAATGTCCTTCAGTTGGTGAGTGGATAAGCAAACAGTGGTATATCCATAAAGTAAAATCCTACTCAGCAATAAAAACAAGCAAAATATATATATACATGCATGCAACAGTACGGGTGTATCTCAAATGCATTTTTCTAAGTGAAGGAGGCCACTCAAGAGGCAACTTCAAGAGGTTATATATGGTGTAATCTCATCTCTATGACATTCTGGAAAAGACAAAACTGTAAGGAAGGAGAAGGTAAGTGGTTACCAGGGGTCACGAGAGGAGGAATGTTTTATGATAAAGAGGTAGGGTGAGCTAATATTTTGGGAGTAACAGAGCTGTTCTGTATCCTGATTTTGATGGCAGTTGCACAACTCTATGCATTTTGCCAAAACTCATAGAACTGTACACTGAAAAAAGGTGTATATTACTGTGTATAAATAGCAAAATTAAGCAAAAGATAATTCCTGCTATGTTAACTTCATGCACCACAGAAATAAGGTTTAGCATTATCAGATACCAAGGTTAGAGTGGTATTGTAGTACATTCTTTGGAAACCTAAATCTTTGCTTTGAAGAAGAAGGAAAAAAAAAGGTAAAAATGTGCGGCATTCTTTGTTAATTTGAACCAGGAACAAATGGATCATTTCAGAAACATTTCTCAGATAGTTCTAAGGATAAGTGTTATGTCATGAATCATAGCTGTCAGGGAAAATTCAGTAGATTCTTTCATAGCATCTCTTGCATTTTATCAGGACAATCTTCAGGACTTGGGGTACTGTAGCACTTAAAAGATAATGGCTCAGATAAGCGCTCTTACTCAGTTTTGTAGACCATGGCGTCACTTGGAGAAAATGCTATGGTTTGGGCTAATGCATGTGTAGTTTAAAATAATTACATTTAAGACTGTTGAATTTCACTTAGATATAGTCAGTCTGGCAGCAATTCTCCAAGTCACTGTAGAACTACCAGACTGAGGTCCTGATGGAAACTACACACTGCACACACGGGTACAAATGCTAACACACACGCAGTTTCACCAGCATAAGTAGACACACATATATACACACACATAGATGCATATAGACACATACGTGATATACACATGTAAAACCCTATACCACAGGCATGTACGTGTGTGCTCACACAGCATGCAAATGCACAAGCACATCTCTCCCCACCATGCACATACTTTTTTTTTTCTCTCTCCAAAATGTACACCATCTCTTGGAATCCAGAGTAGAAGAATCATGTTTAAAGGTTACAGGGTCTACCTTAAATAAAGGGAGCTTCTGCCTCGCATCCGTTTTGAAATAAGCTGAAATAAATGAAAAACAGATGGAGAAAGGATCAGGCAATACTTGGGATTCTCAGCTAAATTCTTTAGTAATATCCAAGCATAATCCATTTAGGTTTGGGATGTTCACTCTTGGAACTCGGCCACCACACTGGGAGGAATCAGACAGCCCTACTTCCCTGCCACCCTCAGCCCTAGCTGAGGTCCCAGCACTGACTTGTCATGTGTCAATGAGCCATCTTGGAATTGGATCCTCCGGCCTTTAGTTGAGCTGCCCTAGCCGATGCCACATAGGGCAGATACAAATGCCCCTGCCAAGGCCTGCCTAAATTTCAGATTTGTGAGCAAAGTGGCTGGTATTGTTTTAAACCATTAAGTGTTGGAGTGACTTGGTTGTGCAGCAATAGAGAACTCATAAATGCAGAATAAAAAGATACTGAAACACTTTATCTTCTCTCCCTTAACACTGGCTTTCTTCACTCTGCCATGCCACAAACTCTTTCACACTCCGCAATTCAACACACACATGCACACACACACACATACACACACAATAGCATAGAAGAGAGAGAAGAGTTGGGAAAACTAGAGGGAGAAGAAGGGAGAAAATGAATTCATGAGTATGATAACTTTGTACTGAGTAGTAAATGCAGGAAATCACTACCAATATTTGAATCAAACATGAGAGGAAGGTTAGGAAAGGTGTGTCCAGAGGGTGATCTTCAGGGCACAATTTGGGGAAATGTTTCTTAGGGGGATTTCAAAAGATCATGTTGCCAGTTTGGAGGTACCACTGCTGGGAGATGAACTTGTTTTGCTTAAGTTGATGATCTTATGGATAGGCGTTTTTGGTTCAAATGGAAGACTCAGTCATAGGACAGAGAGCCATTAGAGTGACAACAGATCCTCTACTCTAAAAATATGCCCAGAAGAGGGAGGAATGGGTTCCTGTAGTAAGGATAAAAGACTAAGAGTATTGATACATTAGGGATATTCTCAAATGAGGAAATATGACAGGGATGAAAGAAGCTACCTTAGAGCACTGGCCAAGGACTAGGGTTGGTAGTTGGAAGTACCTGGAGCTGAAGGCATAAATTCTTTCATCAAATTATAGTCATTAAGTTACTGCCTTTAATAATTAGTTCAATAAATATTTATTGAGCACCCGTTATGTACTAGACACTAGGCATATGATGATGAGTAAAACAAATGTGGTCCTTGCCCTCATGGGGGATAAATTAGTTGGACTGAGACAGAAACTAATTAAATAATAACATAAACATACAGTTAGAAATGATGAGAGGTGTTACTAAGGAAAGTGCAGAGTTCTATCAGAGGAAGAATTAGGAAGCCAAACATCGCTTCTGTTCTCTGGATGTTTACAAGTTTTCTTCTCACCTCATCTTTTCCCCACCCTCCAAGAATACTTTGAAAGACCCTTAACTTTATTCCTCAGCTTTTTGAGTGCTTATGAATTTATAATTTATGTCTGGGTATATAATATATAAAAACATATTTATATATAAATTATTACACCTACATTTTTATTATATAAATTATAAATTATAATTATTATTGTTATTAATCATATTATATAATAAATTATTATAAATTATTATATATTTATATTTTATATTTAGATGTATTATATTATAAATTACATGTAAATATATATAATTATATATATATAATTTATTTATGTATGTGTAACTTTGGAAGGACAGTTAAAGTAGGTAAATAAGAAATACACATATTAAGGATCTTGAAAATCCACATGATTCTCAATCCATTTGGGTGCTAGCGATGTGGGCAAAACAGAGGAAGTAAATGTTACAACTTCTGTCTTCAAGGGACTCACACCTATCTGGTGAAACAAAGGTAATCTACATAAAACAGAATCCTTTTGTGAGACACACCGTACCATTATTAAATCCTAGATTGTGCTGAACTGGCCTTAAGTGCTGAAGAAGCTCTGGGAAGCTATGATGAACTGGGTGCCATCAAAAAAGGCTGTAAGGAGGAGGTAGGTTTCGAAAAGGGTGGTGTTATTTTTGTTTGGTTTGGGTCAGTGCAGGAAGAAGCATTCCAAGTGAGGAGAGGAACAAGAGTCAAAACTCAGAGGTGGAATGAATGTGTTGAGTAGAAGTAGATAAGTTCCCACTGCATTCATGAGGCGTTATTTTACCATTGGATGTGGGTGACATCAAATGCTGTAACAGCAGGTTTTTAAAAAAATTGAAGTATGGTTGATTTACAACATTGTGTTAGTTTCGGGTGTACAGCATAGTGATTCAATTTTATATATATATGCATAAATGTACATATATATTCTTTTTTAGATTCTTTTCCATGATAGGTTATTATAAGATATTGAATATAGGTCCCTGTGCTATACAGTAGGCCCTTGTTTATCTGTTTTATATACAGTAGTGTGTATATGTTAATCCCAAACTCCTAATTTATCCTTCCCTTCCCTTTCCCTTTTGTTAACCATAAGTTTGTTTTCTGTGTCTATGAGTCCATTTCTGTTTTCTAAATAAGTTCATTTGTATCATTTTTTAGATTCCACATATAAGTGATATCATATGATATTTGTCTTTCTCTGTCTGACTTACTTCCTTTAGTATGATAATTTCTAGGCCCATCCACATTGCTGCAAATGGCATTATTCTATTCTTTTTATGGCTGAGTAATATTCCACTATATATATATTTAAGGGGAAGTCCTGGGGGAGTGTGTGTGTGTATATGTGTATGTGTGTATATATATATATATATATAATCTCACATCTTCTTTATCCATTCAACTGTCAGTGGGCATTTAGGTTGCTTCCATGTCTTGGCTATTGTAGATAGTGCTGCTATGAACATTGGAGTGCATGTATCTTTTCAAATTAGAGTTTCCTCTGGATATATGCCCAGGAGTGGGATTCCTGGGTCATATGGGAAGTCTATTCCTAGTCTATTGAGGAATCTCCATACTGTTTTCCACAGTGGCTGCACTAACCTGCCTTCCCACCAGCAGTGTAGGAGGGTTCCCTTTTCTCCACAGCCTCTCCAGCATTTGTCATTTGTGGACTTTTGAATGATGGCCATTCTGACTGGTGTGAGGTGGCACCTCATTGTAGTTTTGACTTGCATTTCTCTAATAATTAGCAAAATTGAGTATCTTTTTCGTGTGCTTATTGGCCATCTGTATGTCTTCTTTGGAGAGATATCTATTTAGGTCTCCTGCCCATTTTTTTTATATTAAGCTGTATGAGCTGTTTGTGTATTTTGGAAATTAATCCCTTGTCTGTTGCATTGTTTGCAAATATTTTCTCCCATTCTGTAGGTTGCCTTTTCATTTTGTTTATGGTTTCCTTTGCTGTGGAAGCAGGGTTTTTAATGGAGAAGATGGGGAGGGTGTCGGGTTTGTGTGGGAGGTGAAGCTATTTGATAGATTATTTTATAATGCATAAACATTTAAATCTTACCACATACCCAATGCAAGTTCCTTCCCTGTTTACTCTATAATTAAGTTGGACAGTATAAAATTTCTGGTATTCAATCATTTTGACCTACAGAAATATCAAGGTCATATTCTTCAACCTGATAGATCATTAAATAACATTTGTATTTGTTTACCACATCCACCTCTAGGCAGTTCTGCACTCTTTGGAAGTTGGAAATCTAGAAATTATCAAAGGTATTTTGCTGTCCTAGTTGATGAATGCTGTGATGTGCCACTTAGATCCTCCCCACCCACTCTGGCCAGCCTCTGGGAGTATTGCTGACTGATAGCCCTCAGCTCTTGACCTTCTTAAGAGCTTGCCTCAGCTGCAAGAGCTGCCTTGCCCAAGGTCATGCTCCTTTCCCAGGGCAGCCCACACCTAATGCTGATTCAAGAAGGGATAGAAAGATCTGATCATCTCACTTCAACTCATAATAATTCCTAAAAGGTAGCCCAGCTTTAGAACTCACTGTAGGGTCAGCTGAGACCTCCGTTGACTCTAAACACAGCTTAACTTCTCTCGCCTCCCAATTTTGTCTTTTCACAACTCTTCCAAAGATATGGATCCCAATGCACTTCCTAACAACCCTATTGCACTGTGAGCTCTGTCTCAGCATTTGTTTTCCAGGGTACCTGACCTATAACAATTGGTGCCGGATCTGACAAAGCAAATGCTGAGAATGGAATTGGGAACTTGATCCCCTGCCACCCAACTGGCACTGAGAATCCCTGACACAAGGAATGGAGACAGTTGGGTTGATAGTCTCAACATCTTAAATACCCAGATTCCCCTGAGCCCTCTGGCCCCTCTTATCTGTAAAAGGCTGGCTCTTCTCACTTGTTTGAGGATGAGGTAGAGACTTCTACCACATAAGACAACATGTGTTCGCCACCCAACCCTGCAACACTATGGTAAGTACACCAGTAATGATTACCCCAGCCCATCCAGAGAGGGACCCATAGCTATTTATCTAGGTAACTGTACACGGAAGAAGAGGTAGCCTTTATCATATCTCTGTCTGAAGTAACCAGTCTGGTCCTTGTAAAACCTAGACATATCTTGGAAGGTCGATGTGGACTACTGCAAACCAAGTCATAGCCCCGATTTCAGCTGCTCATGCCAAGTGATCAAATTAACATGATCTCAGATTCATGGTACATACAAGGTATGTGGCTGTTGATCTGAAGAATGCATCCATTTCCATCCTTCTCAGAAACATACTTCTCATTGGAAACATACAACAGAGTACATTTACACTCTTGCCCCAGGACTTGCCCTGTCCTCTGTCCTAAAATAGTCCAAAGAGACCTAGATCAGCTACCCATCCCACAGAACATCATACTGGTCCACTCTGTTGATGACATCATGCCAATCTGACTGGTGAAGCAAAAGGAAAAAATGCCTAGAGCATTTCCAATGTCAAGACTCACATACTCCAGAGAGAAACTCTACGAAAATGTAAGTGTAAGAGATAAATTCTATGAACATTGACAAAAATTTTAGGACATCAGTGCTCTAGGGCATGCCAGGAAATCCCGTCAACAATAAAGGAAACACTTCTGCACCTGGCCCTTCTCACCACAAAGGAGCACATCACTTCACAGGTCTCTTTGGGCTCCAGAGGTACCTGGAAAAGTGCTCATGTCTTCAAATAGTGCTATGACCCATATATTGGGTGACTTCGAAGTCTCCCAGCTTTTTTTTTTTTAACATTTTTTATTGACTTATAATCATTTCACAGTGGTGTGTCAAATGAAGTCTCCCAGCTTTAAGTGGAGCTCAGAGCAGGAAAAAGTCTATGATGCAAGCAGCCCTGTGGTTTGAACCATGTGACCCAGCAAACAGTATAACATTAGAGGAATCAGTAGTGAGAAAAATTGTTTGGAGTTTATGGTAATACCCAATCAGAGAATCACAACACAGACTCCTGGGCTTCTGGAGGAAAGCCATGTCATACAGAGCTTTCAAAAAAGAACTTCTGAGAGTCTCTTTTTGTTTTGACAGGAGTTATTTTTTGAAAGGTGCGCAAAGTTCTACTGTAGAGCACAGGGAGTTATATTCAATACCTTGTAATAGCCTTTAATGAAAAAGGATATGAAAAGGAGTATCTATCTATCTATCATCTATCTATCTATGTATGTATGTATGTATGTATCTATCTATCTATCTATCTATCTATCTATCTATGTATCTATCTGAATCACTACGCTGTACACCAAAAACTAACACAACACTGCAAATCAACTATACTTTAAAAGACAAACAAACAACTCCCAACTCCAAAATCCTCTCATGCCCTGAATGGAGTGCCTGGTCATAGGGATACCAAGTAATCATGAGGTCTAACTCATCTGGAATCTTACCTATCTCACTCAATTTTCTTTTACAAAGCACTTTTAGAGACACCCTATTCACCTGCTTGATGAGACATTTTGCATCTAATTCTCAAGTCTTCCTCAGACCTGGAATGCCAGCCCGATGTGCTCCATGAGCAGTAATGTGCTGATAAATGCTTAGCAACTGGCTTTCTCTCAAACAAAAAGCAGTGATTTGTAGCATTTGCCAATTTCCATGGTATTAATACTCCCACCATGGCTGATTTCAAGCTTCCAACATGACATGATTGAATGCTTTCATTCCCAAACAAAGTTGGGAAGAGCTATGTGGTAGCCACCGTTACACGGTGTTTGCCACCACACAGAAACAATAGGTGTTAACAACTTCAAGAAAATAGATTATAGAAAAACTTAGTAAAATAATTAGGAAGGAATGACTTTCAAATATTTGTTACCTTTGTTTTTAATGTAATTTGGTTAACTGTAAGTTTATGTAATTTAAATTTTAATGTGTCTTTCACAACCATCTCAAAAAAGTCCTGAAAATTTGAAAACTAGCTCTCATGGCCAAGATGAGGTAGTTCTATCGTACCAGTGAGAGCTTCTCACCCTGTGAGATTTTCACTACGTGTTGAAGGTCTACAAGGATGCACCATGTTCTCATCTTTAATAACATTAGAGTTATTTTATAAGCATGATAGGAAATGGGTATCATGAATGGAACTAATATCCTTGAAGATTTTTATTATTCTCATTTCTGATGTTTCTCCAATCTGCTACCTAATACATTGGAAGTGTCAAAAAATGGTTACAAATTAAAATGTACACTACCCTTAGCCTTAGAATATTGAAAAACACCACTGAATCATTTTAAGTGGATTCCTAACAAGGCATAATTAATTTCATTAAGCCTAACTGCAGTGATAATTCCCAACTGACCTTTATCCCTGGAAACACAATATCACCGAAGTGATAAATAAGTAACTTTCACGAAGACCTTCACTGTACCCTGTCTCCAAAGTATTAACGATTAGAGAAAAAGCATGAATGGACTGATAGTGCCTCAAAACCTTCAAGAAACTATTTAGCTGAATTTAACCGTTCTAGATGAATTATAGTAAATTTGAGTACCGAAAGTCTAATCTGTACCTAAGAGTAAATGAATGAGTATTTTCAAGAAATATAAACCTGTTGAGAGTATGTGATTATTACTAGCTGTGTTTATGTGTGTTGCATGTGTGTGTGTGTGTGTGTGTGTGACAAAAAGAGAGACGTGCACATACGTATATATCTTGGTCATGGAGTAACTGTATTGAAATTTTTCCCCATCTTTTTGCAGTTTTTATTTGCTGATAGACTTTAAATAGTGACAGATTTGCTCAATAATTAATGACTATACAGAGAGATTAACATTAACTAATGATAAAAGAGGCCCCGGGTCCTCTGTGATTTAAAAGATTGTCTGGGATTATTATATTTATTTCAGTTGAATTTTCTCCTAATTACTTCATTTCTTCTTAATTGGTGTCTTATAAAAATAAATTAGACAGAATAATTAGCAATATTCTTTTTTGACCCCTCTAGAACTCGGCCTAATTGAATAAAGATTACAGTACACATATAAGTGTCATTTCAAGTGTTTTTTTTTTCCAGACCTGAATTTCATTTATAGCTGAATCAAATTTATCACATAAGTAGAAATACTGTCCAGGTATAGGCTACATGCAGAAAAATTTCCTTTATAAAACCTGTTAAATTAGTACAAAAATACCTATGCATTGTATTATTAATGGATCTAATAATATTGTACTAGTATTACAGAAGAGAAGAAAATAGAAAAAGAAACAAGATAATTTTTTTTTGAATTATGAAGCTACACTTAAAATTCTAACAGCTACTTAAAAAGCTCATATTTTAACATGGGTTTTTTATTTTGTTGTTGGTAGTAGTGGCAGAAAAGGAACTAGATTAAATGATTATAAACCAAATAGAACAGAATCTGCTCATCTAATCTGTTTTCCCTCATAAACACCACTCTTAAGTGAAACACAGATAATTAGTTATCTCTTCACATGCATTCTTAGCAGCAATGATGCAGTCCTTCATCTGTTGATGCTACTGATGGGGCACCAGTTGGGTAGAGCTGGAAAATAATCTGAACTCTCTTGCCCATGTTTCCTTGTCTCCAGTGGCTTCTGCTCATAAAATATTGCTGAAATGGGGTTTTGTTCAGGATTCAGTCCCTGTATAAGCACTTTAGTACCAAGTTCTACATGGAACTCTGACATATGGTCAGACTGTTAATAAAAAATCATATCGTGAAAAGAGAAATAGAAATTAAAACTAAAACTAGGTACCATTTTCAACTCATTTGTCAGAGCTCAACAACATTGCTGAAGATGAGAGCAGGGAAACTCATCTCTCTCTTCTAATGGGAAGATAGCTAGTAAAACCTCTATGATGGAAATTTCAGAATATCTAGTAAGATCACCCAATGTATAATCGACCATTACCCTCTAAGAATTTATGTGACATGCACATCGATGGGCAAACTAATGTATATTTAAAGATATTCATCATAGCTTTAGTTGTATTAGCAAAAGTTTGGAAACAATTGAAATATTCATTAATAGGGAATTGGTAAAAAAAAAGTATGATAATCCATACTACTGTATGGCATGTCACTTTTTAAAAAATGAGGAGGATTTGTATATATACATGTATATACGAAAGATTTCTAAGATACACTACTCCCCTTTAGCTTTGTTGAGATTTAATTGACATTATGTAAATTTAAGGTGTGCAATGTGTCAATCTGATACATTTATATATTGTAAAACGATTACCACATAGCATTAGCTGCCACCTCTATCCCATCACATAATTACTGTTTCTTTTTTGACATGAGAACATTGAAGATCTACTCTCTCAGCAACTTTCAAGTATATAATACAGTATTATTCGCTATAATTGCCATACTGTGCATTGGATCCCCAGAATTTGTTCATCCTATAATTGGAAGTTTCTATCTTTTTGACCAGTATCTCCCCATTTCTCCTACCTGGGGGCAGGGGAATTTCCACGCATCTCCTGGAACCACCGCTGTACTCTGTTTCTCTGCGTTCAGCTTTTTTAGATTCCACATGTAAGTGACATCACAGATTTGTCTTTCTCTGTCTGACTTATTGCACTTGAGCACGATGCCCTCGTGATTCATCCAAGTTGTTGCAACTGGCAAACTTCCCTGCTTTCTCATGGCTGAATGGTATTCCATTATATATATGTACTCCACATCTCTATCCACTCATTTGTTGGTGGACACGTCAGTTGGTTTCCATATGTTGGCTATGGTGAATAATGCTTCAGTGAACATAGGAGTGCAGGTAACTCTAGTTCTCTCATCTTCTCTTTCATCTTCTGTAGACATTCTTCTTTATAAGTGATTCGTTTTCTCACCATAGCCTGTCCTGTGTGTAATCCTATTGATTATGAGCATGTCTGCATACGTAATAAGAGTAGATTAAATAATTCTCTTTTCCTTTTGTTCTGCCCTGGATGGTGAAAGTAACTTCAATTTCATAATAGACTTTTTAATATTTACTGATTTGGTTCTTTCTGACATCTAGATAATATCGTTTTAAAAATCCATTTTATTAATTGTGTGCTTGTGTGTGTGTGTGTGTGTGTAACATCAAACAAGCTGAACTACAGTTTTGCTGATAACAAACTTCGGGAGCAACAATGTGCCGTTAAGTCTTATAACTTAAGCACAAATGAATGAGGTTAATTTATTTAATCTAGAAAGTGATTATTTAGAGATTTAAGCAATTTGGCAGCGGGGTGTGCAGAAGGGGACGTGGGTGGAATTAACATGTTTTTGCCAAGGCTGAGTTTTTGCCTAGTGCTTTTGGAATTTCAAGAATCTCATTAAGACTTTTAGTAAATTTGCTTTAAATCACCATAGAATTAATAAACTAGAGGCATTACAATGTCTGTCAGCTCTGATTTAATTTAGATGCTCAGTCCCTTCAAACTAGATCAAGACCACAGAGAAGTGCCAAATAGCGACACTTTCCAAATAACCTGCAGGTATCTGCTGACATCCATGTTCCCATCAGAGCTGTCTGGGCCAAGCAATGATGGCTGGTTTCCTGCAGCCCTCATCCAAGTTTCTGAGAGACCCATGGAGCCATGGAGCTACATTTCCCACCTCCTCCTCTTTCACTGGTGCCAGCTCTCACAGGGTTCACGTCTCTCTGAAACTCAAGTTCTGTTGTGGAACTTAGATAAGTTTAGGCTCAAGGACTGGGATATAGACATCTTGGGGGATCTTGTAACTAAAGACAAGACACTATTGCTGCTACATTGTGGGTTAAGTAAACTTTTGTAGGCTACCCTAGACACTACACTACACTGTCTAATTTTTTTCTTCCAGGGGAAATTCCACTTCAATTTCCAAATATTTTTAAATTTTGGAACACAACTTAGCTTTGATATTATTTCTATAGGTCCTCCCTTTCTCACCTCTCTTTCCCTTTTGTGTGAGTTTGTTCTTTTATTCTCATATCTTTTTCCAAACATTTAGCTCTTTGCTAAAGTTCACTGGCAAGTTGGGAACTCCTAAGATTTAACCATAATTCCTGAAATATGGCCATCACAATACTTTTACACCTTACTTCCTAATTAAACTGATACATCAGTTGGCATTTCTAGAACTGCCATATCCAAAGTGTTAGCTTGAGACCTGCTTATGGTCTTATTTAAACAATACAAAGATAATTTGAAAAAACAGCATGAAAAGCAGCATGTGTATGAGGGTATCTTGGTTGGCTTGGAGCTGATGCTTAATTATGGTAGCTTGTGCAATTAGGCAGCATGTCCAGTGTCCTCAATGACCTGGAATGAATAACGTTTTCCTGACTTCAAGGACATAGTCAAGAACAATTAAACACATATACCATTTCATGATTGCCCTGCATCTTAAGGGTTCATTAGGAAAGGATTCTGGAGCTATGTACAGAATTGGAGGTTTAGACATGTTTGATGAAATGGGGATGGAAAAGATTAACAGAATTCACGAGGAACAGCAGCACTGCCCTTAAAAAGAGAAATCACCATGGGTGGGGGCAAAGTGGAGCAAGGTAGCCTCGATTTAGCACTAAGTTCCCAGTGCTAGAGGTGACTGTGGCTTCCAGAGTAATGCAAGGATGAGCGTGAATGCCACCTGACCCAACCTCCCACTCCTTCCTCTTCAGCCACGCCACTCCTTCTTGAGCAATCATTGTTCTGGGAAGGAGAAGGAAATGTTAAAAGAAGAGCCTTCAAATGTCTTAAGCAGGACACAAAAAGCACTCACCATAGAGGGAAAAAATGATAAATTGAACTATATAAAAATCAAGAACTACTGTACATCAAATGCCATGCTTTTGTTTAAATGTCCATGCTACTCCAGGTATTCTATCAATTCAATGCAATCCTTATCAAAATTCCAATGGCATTTTTCACAGAAGTAAAAAAAAAATTTTTAAATTCATATGGAACTACAAAAGACCCTGAATAGCCAAAGCAATCCAGAGCAAAAAGAACAAAGTGGGAAACATCACACTACCTTGATTCAAAATATATTACAAAACTGCAGTGATCAAAACGGCATGGTACTGACATAAAAACAGAAATATAGGTCAATGGAACAGAATAGAGAGCCAAGAAATAAATTCACACATTTATATTCAATTGATATTCAACAAAGGTGCCAAGAACACCTAATGAGAAGAGGACAGTCTCTTCCATAAATAGTGCTGGGATAACTGAATATCCCCATGCAGAAAAATGAAATTGGACCCTTATCTCACACCATATACAAAAGTCACCTCAAAATGAATTAACATAAGACCTGCAACTACAGAAACTAGAAGAACAGAAAAGGAAGAGCTTCTTGACATTGGTCTGGGTAGTGATTTGTTTTTTGGATGTGACCTTAAAACCACAGGCAACAAAAGCAAAAACTAGACAAATGAGACTGCATCAAACTGAAAAGTTTCTTTACAGCAAAGGAAACAACAAAGCAAAAAGGAAACCTATAGAATGAGAAAACATATTTGCAAAACATATATCCAGTAAGTGGTTAATATCCAAAACATATAAGGAGCTCAGACAACTCAATAGCAAGAAAACAAGTAATCTGATTTTATAATGGACAAAGGACCTGAATAGACATTTCTCAAAAGAAGACATATAAATGGCCAACAGGTATATGAAAAAATGCTCATCATTAATCATCATGGAATTGCCAATCAAAATCACAGTGAGATATCACATTACATCCATTAGAATGTGTATTATCAGAGAGACAAAAGATAACAAGTGTTGGGAGGATGTGGAGAAAAGGGAAGCCTTGTGCACCATTGGTGGGACCATAAATTGGTACTATCATTATTAAAAAGCGTATGGAGTTCCTAAATATATTAACAATAAAGCTACCATATGATCCAGCAATCTCATTTCTGGGTATGTATCCAAAGGAAATGAAATCAGCCTTTGGAAGGGATATTTGCACTCCCATATTCATTGCAGCATTATTCACAACAGCCAAGATACAGAATCAACCTAAGTGTCTATCAATGGATGAATGAATAAAGAAGA